AAGAAACCTTTTCTTTCCTCTGCTTCAATTAATGTATTTGAAAAGGGCTAAGACCCAATTCTAAATTCAGAAGAATTACACCTAATAATCAAAGTTTCTAAGGCAACTGTGCTCTGTAAGGCATGAGAAATTTTAGTGTTTACAACTTTACAAGATGAAAAACTGAAGCGTGAGGGAGTTATTTTTCAGAGTGTTTCAGTATTACCATTATTCCATCAACGACAAATATTTACTGAGAGCCTCCTATGTACCAGGTACTATTTTAGGTACCGGAGATAAAACACAACAATGAACAAGTTAACGCATTCCCTATCCTCATGGAACTTACATGCGTTGACCTTGCACACCAATGAATGGATCAGTGCCCTCACGCCAAGAGGTCATTAATAAGGTTTTGATGCCACCTGAAATTCCTGTGGATCCCAAACTCTCGTGGATCTTGTGGGCTATAAAGTATCCTTGACAGCACCTACTTGGTTAATAGGGAATGGTCAGGGTAGCACCCTGATGGTCATCTCCTACTGTCTACTCTTAAGCCCATGGTGTTCTATGAGGCATGGCATGGCCAGCATCTGGCCAGAAGATAGGACACGTTCTGTCTGTTTTCTGAGATGGTGAAAAACTCGATGCAGTTCTCAATAGGGCAGTTGAGAAAATAGAGGGTCCTTATATGTTGTAATGGCAGTATCTTCTACTAAATAATAAAGGATTTCCAATCTATAAGGGAGAAATGAAAGGAGATAGCACTTTTGTTTATGGGGGACAGTCCTGTGTTCCATCTCCAAGGCAAACATCACCCCAGTTCTACTGACTACCAATCATTCCTCAATTATTTCAGAGGGGATTAGCCAGAGAAGGAAGGAGGAGAAGGAGGGCAAAGAAACAAAGGGAAGGAGGGGAAGAGAAAAGGAAGGAGAGAGGGAAATCAGAAGGAGAAGACATCTGGTAGCTTTCAAAAAACAACTCATCAGTGGACTTCCAGTGGTGACAAATTTAAGACTGCTTCCACATTCCCAAGTGTTTCGGCCCCAGAAACACCTCCAGACTGTCTGTGACCACAGCACAGAACTGAGAGACTGTCAAGTCCAAGAGCTGAGCAGGCCTCCCCTCACCTCATCTGGCTACCTGGTTCATCTGCTTCTTTCTGTCCCTGTGATCAGAGACTACGAGATGTCAATCGTTCAGGACCAAAGACATTTTCAAAACTTCAACTGGGAACAAAAGCAGCCTGTATGGATGTGTGTGCCAGAGAAGAAGAGACAAAGAAATGGATAAGGTTCACTGATCTTTGCAAATTGCAATTCTGGGGATGGGGGTGTGAGAATGAGGATGTTGCTGTGAGTCTTAGACGAACCAGCCCCTCAATAACCACAAGGAGCAGTGACAAGTCTGGACAGCGCTGCAACCAGCCTCCTCCCTCCCCTCTTGAATACAACTACAAAATGCTGTCACTCTCTAACAGTGCCTACGCTGAACACAGGATGCCCCAAAATGCAGAGCCTGACCCTACTTGAAAATGAGTAGAGTTGCATCAGGTGGCTTCTAGTAGCTTTCTTTACTGTCTTCACGGTTCTAAGATGGTAGCTCTAAAAACGGAAATGAAATCCAGTCCCTGCTTCTTGGAGGCTTCCTCTGTGCTCCTGCTCTGGTCTGGACCAGGGCAGTCCCCAGACATCTCTGCAAGACTCCCACTCTGAAGAGGCAAGAGTGAAGCCACTCCCCTGAGTCATACAAGGGTCTTGATTTATTGCAAACTACACGGGTCTGCATTTTTTTCAGCCCAATATGCTATCACTAGGATCCTTGCTTATTAACCCATCTACTCCCTCCTTCAAAGGCTCTCAGAAAAGGGAGTCCTTGGGAAGCTACTTCTAAGGTCTGCTCTAATAACAGGTACCATTCACTGAATACTTACTATGTATGAGACACTGTATTAAGTATACTTTTTTACTTAATCTTCACAACACTTTAAGGTAGAGAGTATTAATCCCATTTAACAGATTCGGAAACTGACGCTTAGAAAAGCCCAATTATTTTCTCAGGGTCATACTCCTGGTTAGAATCTTGGGATCTGTCTTCCGAAGTCCAAGTCTTCAAGCACTATTCTATACTCGGAGAAAGAGCAGAACAGTGGGTCAGAAAAGGTTTGCAGTCAGAAACTCCTGCCTCCAGTTAGTGTATGACCCGGGGTGGTCACTTCCCCTTCAATGTGGGAATAATCATTTCTACCCTGCCTTTTTCCCAGTGTCAGAGGCAGTATCGACACCTGTTGCTATGTTCCCATAAGTCCCTTTCTCTCAGAAGAACTTCCTTGTCATCTGTTCAAGGTTGGGAATGAGAAGCAGGGTAGGGAACAGATGCAGGAAAAAGAGGTCTGAAGCTAGGTCACGTGTCTTCAAATTTGTCCTTGCCCTTTGTAACTGTATGGGGAGACATGGACTCTAATGTTTGAACACGAATTCTACTCATATTAAAGTTATCTAGGCATGAAATTAAGCCAAATAGGCAAACACGTAGTATATATTCAATAAATAGCTAAAGGAAGGGCAGAAGGAAGGCAGGCAGTGGGCAGACGAAACTGGCATTTTCTTTTGATCTCTTTTAGGCTGTTGGCGTTTCATACCCTGTGCATGGAACTAATTGCTTGTCCGAGTCCATCAAATTAATTTGGCCAAAGTTATTTAATTTCACTTTGTCATTAGCAATGATAAAGAACTTAAAAGCAACACAGTGACAAACATTCTTAGCCAAACCATAATATTCTATGATCTGAACAGCCCTATGATTTTCCCAACTGAGGCATCATCCTAGGATTGGCCTATTTTCTTGAAATTTCGAATTGCCTAATTGGAGTAACACTCATGAAGACCAAAACACACAGAGCTTATCTAAAAATGAAGCTACCAGTAGGAGCTAATAAAATCCCAGCACACATGTTTATTCCTACAGCCTCTGGTTAACACAATGCTGACAGCAGAGAAACATCCCTGACAACCTACTAGTGAGGACTTTGGGGAGCTCTTGGAAGAAACACACGCAGGGCTCAAGAAGCGATAGTTTGCTTAAAAGCAATGTTTGAACGAAGAAAATAAAAGACAGCAAGTATAACTAGAGGGGATCTCTAACCATTCAGTGTGGCTTTGGGTGTAGACAGAAAATGAAACATTCATCATCCTGCATGAAACACACCTGTGGCTGAGTTCACAAAATTAACCCATTTTCCCCACCCTTAAAACTGCTAAAAAAAAAAAAAATGCCAATAGTTCAAAACTTTCACCTTAGGAACATCGTGAATACTCCAGAAGACCACCTGAAATGACAGCCACCATTAGAAGGATGGCATTTGTGTTCAACCACATGGCATCATCATTTCAGTGCCTGAATCTATTATGACTCAGACCCAGGTCTGTCAGGACCAGCAGCTCTCTGGAAAGGGACAAGGGGAACAACAGAGGAGAAACAGAGCATTTCTCCCGCCATCCCCAAAGCCTTTTCACACCTTCCCCTTCCCACCTCAAGGCCCCCAACAGGCTCCACCCTCCTTGCGAAACTGCCCAAAAGTTAAACTTCTAGCAGAGAAATGGAGGGGCTGTGTGTGAGGACTGGGGGACGTGAGTGGCTTACCTGGGAGATCTCTGTCCTCACCTGTTCTAACTCAATCCTGCTATAACTGTTCACCACGGCACAATGTTGAGGCACAAAACGTTTCCCCTCAGAGTCAGAGGGCTTTACATGAAAAGCATGACATTGTCAAGAGATCATTCATTTCTGATTGACATAGCATTTGGAACACCAAACACTGGGCACAAAACCAGAGCCTATGAATACTCATCAGAGACAAAAAGTAAATAAATACAAAGGTTTAATTAACCCTATGCAACAGAAGAAGATGGAGACTGAACGGGTACCATGTCCCGTAATAAGCAGGATACCGGAAGCACAAAGAACTCCCAATAACTGTATTGCTTTTTTTTTTTTTTAATTGGGGATGGGGGTGTAGCTATAACTTTTATTGAGCAAAGGATACCATTAAGAATTACATAAGAAGCTGCATTGCAAATGTTGGACCCAATAAGGGCAATTGAAATTGATTCTGGAATGTGGTTAAAGTACTTTATCTAATCTATTAATAAATAAGAAAATCTTTCATTAGTTGGCAGGAGGACAGTTGCCACTGGCCAACTTGATTTTCCTGAAAACGGGGAAGACTTGCATGCACTTTTTTTCAGATAAAAGCCCTAAAGTCCCAAAGTACTGTTTCTGGAATCAGAAGTTACCATGCAGTGTCATACTTCTCCTGAACAGGCTGAAAGTCTCCTTTCACCTGTTCCCCAACGTCAGGAAGGGAGAATAAAGGGTTCGCTTGCAACATGTTTCTAATGGAAAAACTTTTTTTGAAGCAAAGAGTTTGGAAACCTCATAGTAAATCAGAAATTGTTGATCCAGGGTGACCATCTAAGGAGAATGAAAAAATGAAATTACCCTTCCAGGCCTTCGCTCTGAAACCTGAAAAAAGCCAAGATTCTGAATAGTGAAGACACCTGGAAGATTTAGTAAATGAGCTGAACAAGATGCCCTATAGCTTGCGAGCAGGAAAGGAAGTCAATTCTATTTATCGCTGCCTGAGAAATCAGCCTCATCCTCCCCTCCCACAGAAAGCTACAGCTGGGCTGGCTAGCCGGTCTCCAAACTCAGTAGAGACAGAACCAAGCATCAGTCACCTGCGAGGTCCCACCCGACCCGCGCCAGCGGCAAGGCCGGCACACCTTCCAAGTGTCCCCTCTCCCCTCTCCACTCCCAGAGCCCGCCCCAGGGCTGCACTGTCTCCGGGGATCAAAGGGCCACAGACCTTTGAGAAAAAAGAGGGAGAAGCGGCTTTGCATTATATAACAACGTACAGCAAATAAGGCTTCTGGAAAACGAAAGTAGCGAGGGGAGGGGCAGGGGTCGGGGAGAGGCGAGGGGGAGCCGGGCGTCGCGGAGGTTTCGCCGCCACTTACTCGAAGGCGAAGAAGAGTCCGCTAGTGACCAGGATGAGGATGAGAGTCAGGTAGAAGACGCCCGTCTGCCGGGCCATCATGATCCTGCCGTTGCAGAAGAACTTGTTTCTTCCCGGGAAAACCTCCCATTTCCTCCGCGCCGCGATTTTCTTCTTCTTGTGGGGCGACTCCATGGGGGAGGAGCTGTGGGTGCTGATCTGACTGTACTCGCAGTCTTTCATGGGCCCGCCGCCGCCGGGAGGCATCCACGAGGGCAGCCGGCTGGGGGCGCACGCCCCCAGAAGC